GAGAAAGCCTCTGCTTGCATTTCCTGCCTTGTAAGTGCCTACAATTCAAAACAATCAATAGAAGGAATTGATGTAGTTCAGGTGGTGGGTCTTGCTGCCTCCCAGCTGAACACAAAGTTCCCCTGTGTCAGAGTCAGAATCTCAGGGGTTCAGGTGGACTTGCACATAGATGGTATGGGGGAGCCCCCCACCCAGAGCCCTGTCTCTCTCTGTGCCGGCTCACATAGTGGGACCACATATCCCAGCCTGCCTCGCAGCTGCCTAGTAACCCAGTTCTAGCCGCATGGGTGAGCAGATTGGATCGGGATCTCTGTTCCTCTTCCCTTCCCGAGGCTTAGGGATCGTGGTTCCAACAAACCAACATGCTGAAATCCCTCCAGAACAGAGCCACCTGCTAATTACTCCTGCCTTGAAGAGTTCTGTGGTCAAGAAATAGACTTTTTTGATTGCTGAATAAGTATTCCATTGTGTGTATGTATGTATGTATGTGTGTATGTATGTATGTATGTGTGTGTGTATATACACACCACATCTTTTTGATCCAGTCATCTATTTGCGGGCATTTGGGTTGATTCCAAGTCTTACCTGTTGTAAGTAGTGCCACAATAAACACAGGGATGCAGGTAATATATACATATATATATATAAATTATTAAAAAAAGAAAAAGACTTCATGTATGCTTGTGTTTGAACCATTTTATATTTTTAGATACATGCTACCTAAGTAAGTTATAACTGAAGAGCTGTTCCATCAAGATTTAATTAGCTAGATTTAAAATGCATATTAATACTTTCTAATATAAATATGGAAATATTTAACACAAGCTATCTATGTGTTCAAGCCAATCGACCCCACCTAATACAAGACCAGTGTTTTCAGTTGAAGTTCTGCTTTAACGAAAACTGATTAAATATGGAGACACAACAGGTAGTACAGAAATAGACATCACAGGTTAGAAAGATGGAGGCGCATCTCGTAAAACTGTCACCTGCTATCGCTTGGAAGGAAGATGGAGAACTTCTGAGTATTACTCTGGAAGCAGCAGAAAGAATGTGCTAGAATATTCATGCTTATGGGTCGTTTCTTGATGTTTATACAAGGAGTTACATGCCAGCGTGTGTAAGCAGAAATTAAAGAACTTTACGGGGTTGAAGAAGCTGATTTCTTCCAGGTTGCAAAGAATAGGAGAAAATTTAAAAGAGGCCCATTAAGATTTCCCAGTTAAAAGAAAAGAAATAGGAGTTGAGCCTCATGGCAAAGATAGATTAAGGTTGTTATAGTTCTACCCAAGCCTTCTGTTTCAGACAGCCTCAAGGTAAGTGCAGGTAATTTGAGGGCAAAAGAGAAGAAATATGGGGGAGGTATCTGGGCGCAAAGCTAGGACAGGGTTGCTGCTGCCTAGAGCTCCCCAGAAGCAAATAGATCAAAAGTCTGTTGCCAAGCACTGTGAGGGCGGCCTGGCCAGGGAAATCCTGGCCTGGCCTGAGATGCCTTTAATGTCTCAAGCCATAACCCTCTCCTTCCCAGGGTTCACACATGCACAGCAGCCCACAGGCCGCCAGCACTGAGCTCCACACAGATGTGCCAGCAGGCCAGCAAGGGCATCGCAGGGGGCGCCTTGGAGAAAGGGGGAGGGTCTGCTGGCTCCCCTGCGGGACTCTCCACACGCTGGTTCCCCGTTCCCGGCTGGCAGTGTGCCACTGAGGACCACTTGGCAAGCTTCTTATGAATGGGAGCTCCCACTGGGTCCTGCTGTTACCCTCCGTGTCTAGAGGTTCTCAACCAGGCTGATGTTATGGAGCAAGGGAAGGGAGGAAGCTGCGAAAGGCCAGCGCTTTCTGCTCCTGAGTTTTGGTTCTGCTGCTTACTGTGCCTCCTGCAAGGCCCTGACTCATCCCCTGTCCTGCGCGATCTCAGAGGCGGAACCTGAGTTGCTGTAATAGACCCCACCACCCCAGGCAGGCCAAGGAGGAGCAGCCTGGCGGCGGCCTGTGCAAGGCTCTCCAGAGGGAAAGGCAGGTCCTCCTCCCTGAGGCCCACTTCTCCCACAGAGGTGTCTGCTCAGGTGGTGGATGGCGGTCAAGTTCATCATTACTGTTCTGCCTAGATGCCGGGGGAACAGACCGAGGGAAAGGCTCAGACACCAGTGTTTGGGGAACTCTGCACCATGTGGCTGGTATTTCTGCAGCTGTGAGTTCCAGGCAGTGCCAGCTCCTCCTTGTCCACACTCAGATGCAGAGGGGAAAGTGTACGAGAGCCCGCTGCGTCTTAGACTCTGCCTGTTGTCCTATCCAAGCGCGGACTTTCGGAGGGCATCTTCATTACAAACAGCCTGGAGAGAGACTGCTGCTCTCAGTCAGCCACAGGCAGCACGAGTCGTGGCTGAGGAAGCCAGGCTCCGCCCTTGCATGGCTGCATCAGCATTTAGGGCTCTGTCTCCAAGGCCAGCGCAGAGGAGGCCTCCCTGCTGATTGGGATCCCCAGGCAGGAAGCTGCGCATGTCGCTCCCGATCACGGTGCGTGTGGTCAGGACTCCACCTGAATCCCGAGGTCAAATCCAGGAGGCAGATGGTTTAGACAGGGACTCACATGGGGCAGGAGCTGTGTCAGATGTGGCGTCTACCTGCTGATACCAGTGACGGCCCTTCTCCCCCGTGATGACTCCAAAGATGTCTCCAGATGTTGCCAAATTGTCCAGAAACACCAGCCTTCAACAAGGCTGTGGATCATCATGGCTGTGGCTGAGAACTGCATCTTTGAAATTCTGCCCCCGAGTCAGACATTTGCCCATGAAGGCATAGTCAGGAGACCTGGTTTTATTCCCAGACGGTTTAAACTTCCAAGCAAACTCCAGATGTGACTATTCCACACTCCTGTCCACGTCCACCTGCTGATGAAGCCTCAGAACATCTGTGTGCGCTACAGTCATCTTTTTTTTTTTTTTTTTATTCTTGATCCCTTGAATTCTTCATTTTACACTAAGCAGTCCCGGGCACTGAGGAGGTTTTTAAACCAAAATAACAACAGAGGAAGGAGGAGAAAAGCCGTGTTGTTCCTCCTCTGTTTTACTTGAAATATTGACATTATTGGAAAAAGTCACCAAAAGAAAACAGGAGAGATAATAAAAATGTCCCCATTAGAAAGGAATTTATCACATCAAAATTAATGATTTTCAGCCAGGAACAATGCCACTCTTGGGTTGTCAAGTTAACTCAATTTCAATTTAACTGAGTCACTCTATCATCCAAATCAGAGCAGCAGACAGAGATGAATTAGGGCAACACAGGGGCTCCTTACGCGATGTGCTCTGGGTGAGAATGAACCCCGGGGAGTGTTTTTGCCTCTTCATACTCTCTCTCCTCCAGGAATTATCTTTCTCAATTGCAATGATGAAGGTGTCATCAACTTGACCTTATTCCAAGACTGTGATGGCCATTTTCTTTGTCTCCCTTTGCAGCGGAGAGAGACGCCACACTTTCCAGGGGGTGAAAACATAATCTTCTCCTCTCGGGGGATCTGCAGTGATTTCAACAGGTCCCATAAGCACCTCTGCTTAGTCCTTTAAGACGTCGGAAAGCTGGCTGTCGGCATACAGAAACCTCTCCATGTCTCCTTGTGGGGTGAGTAGGGGTGAAAAGGCTCCCGGGATGCCCCATTGGGCATTCTCAGGACGTTGGCTCAGCAAGGGTTTCCTGACAGCAAGGCTAGGCCATTGGGACAGAGATGAGAGAGACACGGGGCTGCACTCGCCAGTGATTCGAGCGCCATCTCTGACGACTTTCCCCGAGCAGCACTGTGGGAGTCAGAACAGCAAGAATAGCAAGAGGGGTGTCCAGGTACTGGGGAGCCCTCTCCCTAGGTCCCCGGTGACACCAAGGCTGGACTGGAGATGCTTCCCTGTGCTCCTGACTCGTGTCTCAGCTCTGCACCCAGACAGTGAGCATCGGGAGAACACTCCAGGTGCAGCTTCAATAAATGTCGGGGCCCCCGTATGACTGATGCTCTGTCCAGAACTGCATGGCAGAAATTCTTCATCATCTAAGAGCGAAAGGAATCTGAGAGGGCAGCCCGTCCTTCGAGATGGCTTCTGAAGCCATCGAGGCCCCCGAGGCCCAGCAACACTGCTCCCCGCCTCTCTTTCTCGTCTCCCCACTCACCTCCCGCACTCACCTCCCGCCGCTGCACTCCTGCCCCGGGCCCTTCCCTCTGGCTCCTAGCCTTTCTCTCCACTCTTTGCTCTCCACCTGCCCCTCCAGTTTGCATGGTGCAGATAGCTGCGTTTTCCTCTGCTGTTCTGCCTTTCCCTCGTTCCTTTGGGCCTTAGCAGAGAAAACATCTCTTTTGCTCCCATCTCTTTATTTTTGTCTCTCTCTCTCTCTCTCGCTGCCTCATCTCCTGATTCTGTTTAATGCACATTTAGAGAACTGTGCAGGCAAGAGAGTGAGGAGAGAAGGCCTGGAACGCTCACCCTTCACCTCACTCAGCATCCTGCAAACTCAACACAGAGCTGCTTGGAATCTGCTTTGCAGAACATCTAGTCAGAATTACTTAGAGGGCTAAGGTGACAGCCCCGTCGCATCTCGGAGCTTGAATGCTCTCTCCATCTCTAGGGGAGGATCCAGCAGGTGTTTAGACAATTTTTGAGTCTCTGCTATAAATATGGGCTGAGGAGGAGGAGGGGAGTGACTGGGGGCTGGCGTTGCCAGGGGCGTCTGCATGGAAGATAATGCTTTTGAGTCAAGCCTGGGGGAGAGGGGAGAGAGGTGGGGGTCGAGTGGCGGTGGAAAGCTGCTCCAGGAAATGACAAGAAGCAGAGAGGAAGATGACATAGTGATAAGACAGTGCATTCAGTGAGGGGGTGTGTGTGTGTGTGTGTGTGTGTGTGTGTGTGTGTGTGTGTGTGTGTGTATGAGAGAGAGAGAGAGAAAGCGAGGGGCCTCTCCATGGCTTCCTAACTGTCCAGTGTCTTTCAGACCCTGTTGATCTGCTCCTTTCTTACCCTAACTTGTAAAAATTTCTTGTTGATGATTTTAAAATGACGCCTGCTCCTGGTGGCTTCGGCACTGCCCGCTCCTGATCCCTGAACACTTGCTTACAGCTTCTCATCTCTCATCCCGTGGGGAGTGAACAGAACCCTAACAATGGCCGTCGTCAGAATTCTCATTCCCCTGGATTCTGTGATGCGCTTCGGTGAGGACAGGAGCCGCCACGTTTACTCTGCTGATGTGAAGTTGCTGGAAGCAGCTCAGACACCACGAGGCGTTTTAGAAGCCGTCCTGGTGGGATACAGGAGGGCCAGGGGCTTCCGGAGACCGTCTCAGCCTCTCCAGACACTGCCTTCGAGCCCCAACTTACCGACCTACTGTGGAGAAGACTCTTAATTTCTCTAGCTTCTAGTTCCCTCTTTGGTTAAGTCCAGATGAGAAGAACCACCTCGTGCTGTAATGCTCAATGAAGACTAAGCAACAGTAACTGGCAAACGCAATTGAAGCCGCGTTGTATCATGACATGGCACACTCACTTCGCTCTGCCTTAACCCGGTCCACAGCTATAGGAAGAAAGCAATGGCACTTTTTCCACAGGCTGTGGTAAGAATTTAATGAGATCACTTGTGGAGTACATTTACAACAATGTCTTCATAATTTTTAGCTGTGATCATTACCATCATATAAGAAAAATGTGGGTTTTTTTTTATGTTTCAGAGGGAAGACTGCATATTTATTTGACTTACCAGGGAGAATTCAATGGGAGAATGTGTAGTAGCATCAATCTCTTGTTGGGTAATCCTAATGGATATCTTCTCTTGATGTTTTACTACCAGCTCATCTTTATTTTTATTTTTGTTTTTTTCTTGAAATCACATTGCACTATAACATTATATAAGTTCCAAGTGTGCATCAGAGAACATCAGCCTGCCTGTAGACAATGTTAAATTCTCCATGAACAGTCCAGTTCTCTCTTCATGCCACAGTCCCCTTCGTCAGGAGTCACCCCCTTCCCTCCCCCTATCTTTCTGGAAACCACCAACTGGTCTTATCATCTACAGTTTTATTTTTGTTTTATTTAGTTCATCTGCTTTTTCTCTCCAACACATAAAAGTGAAATCAACAAATGGTTGGAAGGTATTCTTTATGTTTTGCATTAAATCCTGATAAGGAAGAGGTCAAAGCACAAATTTTAAACTTATAAAAACTGATTTTTATACAACTAGAGAATGAGCATAAGACAGATATTTAAAACTCATTAATAAGAAAATCAGGAGGATAAACCTAGTCCCATGATTATGTTAAGAAGTGAATAATTATTGATAAGTATTAAAAATTTAATGTTACCCCCCAATAATCCCCTATAAGGCAATTAAAGCATAACCTTTGGAGTTATCCTTTCTACCACATAAAAATCTATAAGTAAATAAAACTTCAGAGTCTGGGTTGAATCAAATAGTACATAGCAAAGTCAAACACCAGTACATCTTCCTACAGAATGAAATAATTCTTGGGTGGGCCAGTTAAACAATCCAACAGCGTAACTTTCAATGGGCATATAAATATGCGCTTTCATCTTATGTCCAAGTTTTCAAGACTTTTTTCTTAACTAATGTAAGAAGTAACAAAGCGGTAATTAGGCTATCCACAGCTTCAAGTAGGAAACACATCTTCCTTATGATGAATCTTCCTTGCAGTATTGATGCAATAACATTTATTAAATATCTGCTATGGGTTTCAGTGCTGGGTGCTCAGCACGGGGAGAAAACAAAGAAAAGGTCTCTGCTCTTGAAAGGTCCTGAGATAAATAGATACGCTCAGTACCTTGCTGTTGACTGATGGATGAGATCCGCACTCTCCTTATCAAAGTATTTAAGAAGGCTGCCTAGATTGCGAAATGTTCTGGCTGCGTAAACTTGGCAAGTTTTTTATGGCCTGAGCTTCAGTTATCACCATTGCAACAGGAAATAATAATGATACTCACAAAATCTGTACAATCATTAAGTAAGTTCACAATTAGCAAAGTGTCTGGAGCACAGTGATGTACAATAAATGTTAGGTAGCATTATTATGATGACAACGAACTCCTGCAAACTCTGTAACTGGATTGCAAAGACAAAACTTGCCTAGTAACAAAGCCCAACAAGAAGCTAACCCTTCCCAGGAGAAGCTACTCCATTGCTTTACTGAGTGGATGGATAAAGGGATGGATGAGTGATCGGTGAAGCTTCGCTAACCATGGCAAACGTGACAGTCAATTTTCCGACATAATTGCCCGCAACAGTTGCCATGACCTCCCTGTTTTTCTTTGACCTTGACATTAATAGGTCATTTAACAGGTAGTGCATCCATAGACCTAGCACCCTGGCTTCAAATAATTACTTAAAATTGAGTTCCAAATAAATTCCTGAGCTGAGACTTAATTATAAGAAATAGAGATACAGAATAAAATTGTTCCCCACATGTTGTTTACTTTCAGCCCATTGTTTATAACCTTCTTATCCTTCTTCTAATTATCAGCAGAAACCACATTCCTGCCAACAATCCAATTGGCTTCCAAGCTGGTGTCTGCAGCTTAGTTTCTGAAAGGGTTGTGTGCTGTGATGAGTGCATCCTACAGTTCAAAGCATTTTTTGATCCCCAGTCTTTACTCCACCTTGAAGTTTCCCAAAAAAAAACCAGGGCCAGTGCTAAGGCTAAATTGTGCAGAAGAAAACAGCAATGCTTCTGAAACACGCAAGAAATTGACTTGTAGGAAGAACCAAGTCACATCTTCACCATGTCCGGCTTCCCCCCTAACAGCCACACGAAAGTGCTTGAATCCAGTTTCCTGAACTGAACACTATACTAGAAAAGAGACTTTATTTATTGCCAGCACCCCCCACCAAGGTGATACCCTTTCTATTGCAGGGATGACCCCCTTTCTTATTGCCACTAGGAGATCTGAAATTCTAATTACACTACTTTTGTAATTACTGACTGGCTTACGTGGTTCATTCAGGGGACAGTGAGCTGCTCCAGTATTAAGTCCCTCTTATTTTTGTAAACTCCAATCCTTAAAAAGTTGCCTGGCACACATTCGGCATTTGGTAAACATGTGCTCCACCCACACAATTTCATTACACCTGCTCTCGGGCTCACGGGATCTAAGACTTCCTGGAGGATGCAGCCCTCATCAGGTGGGGTACCCATCTCCAGGTCGGTCCAGGGCTCTTTTTCATGCCTACGGTTCTCTTTCGTTCCCTGGTGTCTTACTCAACACCTTCCTACTCTTTGAAGATGTGCTTAAACTCCTCTCCACCTGACACAATCCATCATTTCTCTGAAGATCCAGGCTGGAGCCCCACCCTTCTATTGCCCCGAACTGCTGACCACACCCCATGAGGATGCACCCCATCTCTCCTCTCGCTTCTGTTTACCCCGTGATGGCCAGCGCCACCCAAGCAATAAGAACTCGGAGATTATTTACTTTTTTCAAATTGAGTTTGCTCACATCTCATAAACGAATCTCTTCCAACAATTGCACTCGAAAGGGCCTTGTGTAAAATTGAAATCTCAGGCATAAGAATGCCAGAATATTTGATCATGGCAATAAAACCAGTAATAGACTCCTTTTCCCTTTCAAAATCTTTAGAAACTAGTAACCACTTCAAGAATGGGAACGCATGGCTCAATTATGAAACGAAAGGAAGATGGTACTTTTTAGAAACTTGTTGCTCCGCCCCTCTCCTCCAGCCCAGGGACATCTTATTGCTAAGGTGCACTTAATGCAAAAAGCAAGTCTGTCTCTACCTCTTCTTTCTTTTACATTTATTTTTAATTTAGAAGAATACCATTAAGAATCCATTTGAAAGCATAAAATCACATTGCTATGAGTTTCAAAGGGGGAGGAAATTGATTGATAGGTCCCTTGTCTACTCTGAAATCTTCCTTATCTCCCGTTTAATTCATTTATGTAATCATCACAGTCCTTTTCTTCCAGTCTTCCTCTCTCTCTTTCTCTCGGCCCCTTTTCTCTCTGAAATTTCGGGGGTATAATTATTCTCAAAAGTCTTACTTTCTTTGCTGCAAAGCTAACGCCCCCTGAGAGATTTTTGACCCCCCAAATGAGGAAATAAAATAAATATGAAAGGAAATAAAAAGAAGAGAGTTGGCTGCTTGGAGCAACTCTTCAGTGACATTTCCCTGCAGGTTTTTTGGTCCCCACAACTGGTATGCAAATCACTAGACTCCAAAAACTAGGGGAGCACATCCCCCTATGAGCCACTAGTTTGTGAGAGAGCTGCAGCCGCGCTGAAAATAGCTGGCATCCCCCCGCAACCCGGAACAGGCTTGTCTGGGCCACAGACACCACCTGGGGTGCCCCTGTATCGGAAATAAAAAGATAAAATCACCCTCACTTAGCTATTTTCAAATAATGTAAAAAATGAGCCTCACAGCATGTAAATGCTAACTCATAAATGCACGGTCAGGCCTAAATAAGAACAAACACTCCAAGGTGGGCTCCTGCGGGTTCTGCTGCTGAACTTGTGAGGATGGCAGCCCCTGGTTTGATTTAAACAGCAGCCCCCCCCGGGCAGCTCAGCGTGCCCGCACACCCCGGCGCCGCTCGCTGGACCTCACTGCTCCTGCACTGAAAACTCTGTGATTTCCAGACCCAAAAAATCCCAGCTGTAAAACACGGATCTCTAACCTGGAGGGGGCCGTCTTCTCTTAGAGAATAACAGGGGGCCATGAATCCAGTCACACAGCCTGGGAGAGGAGGAAGAAATAACTCACAGGAAGGAGGAACAGGGAAGAGGAGATGGACTTGCTCAGAGGTGGGGGAAGGACAGACTGACTAGAGAGAAGAGAGGGTTGGGGTGGCATAAAGGGAAGGGAAAGGTTCAGAATAAACATCTTGTTGGGAGAATCAGTTAAATTGAAGGACTGTCGGGCAGACGGCCTTGGAAGCCACCACCATTTTGTTTTTTTAGCAGCTCTGACATTATCCCCTTAATGAGGAATATTCCTGGGCGGCCACAGACGTCCATCTTCCATCCGCCTTTGTCTCCTCACACCCGTCTTCGTGAAGCTCCGTGTTCACAAGAAAGGACAGAGGCTGTATATTTC